GCATTGGGAGTAGGAGGAGGAGGAGGAGGAGGAGGAGGAGGTTGTTTGAGACGGGGGAGGAGCGATCCCTCACCTTTCTAAGCAATCATGTGTGGAGCATTCGGCTTGAGCTTCCGGGTGTATTCTCAATGAACCCAAGATCAAGGAATACAATTTGCGTGCACATATGACAAGCCATCCAACGCCACGTGTTGTGTCAAAACGCCATTGCCTGATGTCTGTGCGCGCGCACTCGCCTAAACCATAAGAACTCCATAGTCAGTTTGCCAGTCTTCCACGAGGGACCATACGGACCACACGCGCGCGCATGTCGATATCTCTCAAGTGTCGTCGCGTACTTGCTGACTTTGTCAAGTCATACCGTGCGGACCATACGCGTGCGTCCCCTCCCGCGCATGTCGAAGTCATGTCGTAACTATGTTCCAAGCATCTCAACCAATCATGTGCTCACACATCTGTAACGCGCGTCTCCGCGCGCTGGTCGAAGCCCCGTCAAACCTAAAAGCTGTTTAAGCATGTCGAAGCAGAATTCTTGAACCTCTCATGGACGTCCAATGTTATTTACATTCTGGACGACAACTATGGTAGAACTTCAGAATTTCTGCGAGCACACGACCTCAGCATCTTCATCAGCAGCATCGTGTCATCATCATCGCCAAGAGCTGAAGGTCGTTAGTCGTCATCATCATCACTACCCGAGTAGGAGTAGAAGCTATCATCATCGTGGTCGTCGCCGATGTCGTCGTCACCATCGTAATTTGCCCACCCGAGTCATGGATCTGCACGAGCAGTGTCCGTGCGTCATTGAGCCTGATCGACTTTGCGGGCAGATGCTGATGAGAAATTCCATTCACGCCCGCCAGAGTGTTGCCCATACGGTGCGGGTTCGTTGCTGGGATGTGTGTTCGAGTGTAGGAGGTGTTCACGCGTGGATGCAGGCATGTGAATTGAACCGTGTGTGTCGCGCCGCGTTCGTTACACCCAGTGCGCTGTTCCGTGTATCTTCCAACACACGCGCTCACACACACACACATCTAAATATAAATACATAAATTGTATCATGCACATTGTACCACATCGGTTGCACATCGACAGTGCAAGGTACCATTGTTTTGGGATCATTGATAGCAACTTTGTTTCTCAATGTTACGTTTGCCCCCGAGTGTTTAGTGATTGGATGTGTGAGCCGAGGTTTCCCACGTTGCCGTCCGTTGCCGGTCGTGGGAGCCTCGTGGGCGCACTGCGCCTTGTGGACAGCTTGCACCACATGGGCACCACACAGTTTGCACCACATAGCCCAGACCCCATGGCCTGCATTTCATGGCTTGGACCACGTGGCTTGCGCCAAACACGCCTGTTGTGATTTGCGAGCAAGTTCCGATGAGAAATGTTCAGGGGGTGGAAAACACACAGACGCAATGGATAGTCGATTCCCCGGAAAATATGGGAGAACATGGGAAGTGGGGGGGGAGACAACAACCCAGAAAAGATTGGGAAAATGTAGGGAATCCTTTCATTTGTGTGTATTTATTTGTGTGTCCCACGGCCCCGTCAGATGTCATTCGCGCTCTTCCGAGTCTTGCCAGGCAGGTGCGGGTTCGTGGGCGGGACTTTTGCTCGAGCACGAGAGGAGGCGGCGCGTGGATGCAGCCTGGCGACTTGCACCGCACAGCTTGCACCACGTAAGGTGAGTCCCATATATGGCACAGCATAGATTTCGGGGGTGGACAGACCTCCTACCCCGACACGTCGATTAAGGAATCGGCCGTTTTCGGTTCGCGAGGGGGCGTCGCGGCCGTCATTTTTGCGTGTCCAGGTCCGTCGGTTTCGGTCCCAGGCCGTTTTCACTAAGGGGAGGTTTACTAAAGGGAGGTTTGTCCACCGCCGAAGATTGCTTCCCGTCGATTGCACTGTAATTCTGTAAGCACATAGGTGATACCAGTGCACAGGTTGAACAACACAAATTGCACACCGAGAGTGCAAGGGATCACTGCTTGCAAGCAGTGCCGGCAGCACATGTCCTCTATGTGCAGCCGTTTCCCTCAACAGTGCTTGCGCTTATGGGTTTGTCCTGTGCTTTTAAATGATGTGATGGGTCTGCCGAGGATTCACTACGTTGGCGGTCGTGCCCTTCACGTGGGCTTTTTATGTGCTGGATTGGTTTGTCTGGATGTCGCCACGTTGCTGGTCATCGGCGTCTCGTGGGCGCATGCTATTTTATGTGCAGGGTTTTTGTGCCACATGAACTCCACGTCGTTTTGGCCACGTAGTTTGCACCACATAGCTTTGACCACGTAGTTTGAGGCACCTAACTTCCATCCCATAGCGCGCACCATGTAGCCTACACCACGTGGCGCACACCGCACAGCTTCACCCACGTAGCTTTCATCACATATCTAGGACCGCATAGTTTGCACCACCTACATTGCACAACATGTCCTACACCACATAGCTTACACCTTAAAGGTTGCACCGCATAGCTCACCGCACAACTTACATCACGCAGCTTACGTCACCGCACAGCTTGCACCTCGTAGCTTGCATCACTTTGATTGCATCGCATGGTTTACACATCGTATAGCTTGTACCACCTACTTTCCAGCGCTTAGCTTTGGCTTGCACTCGACAGATGGCATCGCATGCCTCACACCATATAGCTTGTTCCTGATAGCTCACATGATCACTGCGATAACGCACTGTTTGGGGTCCAAGCTGGCAATTCTTCTGATCGTCAAATTCGAGCGAGCTCCTGCGCAGGCAACCCGCGGCTCAGGAGGAGTGCGGCTCAAGAGACACGACGGGATCTCCCCGAGTAGCGCCACCAGCAAGAAGCAGCGACTCAGCTAGGCAAGCGCTCTTTTATTCATTGTGTTGCCGATCAGCGCGGGCCCACCCCCCCCTCCCCCCCCCCCATGGAGTAGATCTTGGCTGCTTTGGGCGCCTGTCTCGAGCAGGTGGAGTCTCGTGGAGTCTCCCCCCTGATGGACGCTCTGCTGCAACCAGTCGCACTCAGCAGAGGTCCCAGACCCCCCCCATTCCCCCCCCCTTCCTCCCGCCGAGTAAACAGACGACTACGACTCTAAACCCCCCCTCCTCCCGTCGTTCCTCCCGCCGAATAAACAGTCGTCGTCGTCCTCCTCTAAGGTCGAAACGCCGAATGAACAGAAGCGCTCAGCAGAAGCCGTCCGGCAGCTCCGCGCCAGCCTCGGACCTGCAGCCGAGAGATCGGGGCGCCGCAGAGCTCGGGGCGCCGGCCTGCGCCGGGCTCGGTGAGGGGCAGGACCTCGGCTTAAGTCGGGCCTGTGCCTCTACATGGGGGAAAATCCAAAAATATCATAAAAAAAAATAAAACATAGTCTGGGGATTATTGTGTGAGTATTTTGGGGCATCTTTTGAGCATTTTTCGGTATTTCCCCCAATCAGGGCTTGCCTCTGTAGGGGTCCTAGCGGATTCATATGGTTAGGTGAGGTGCGGCGCCGATTTGGTGGCCGGCGGCCGGGTGCCCGGGGGTGCCCGGGGGTGCCCGGGGGCCGGGTGCCCGGGGGTGCCCAGGGGTGCCCGGAGGTGCTCTGGGGTGCCCGGAGGTGCCCGGGGGTGACCGGATCCCTGGGGACCTTGGTGTTCTATCGCCCTCTATAGCCCTGTAGTCACATAGCCCTATAGCCATATAGCCACATAGACCAATAGCCCTATAGCCCTATAGCCCTATAGCCTTATAGCCCAATATCCCTATAGCCCCATAGTTCTATAGCCCTATCGCCTTATAACCCTATAGCCCAATAGCCCCATAAAAACCCAACAGCCCATGTAGCCCTAGAGCCCTATAGCCCTGTGGCCCTATAGCCCTGCAGCCCTGAAAAGATTATGATTGAGTTTTTTCTCCGGTATCATGTTCTGATTCGTCCACAAAATCCCCTTGTAGGGGGACAGGCCCGACCTAAACCTCGGCGGAGGCACCAGGGGCGGACGAGCACAGGGGCGGGCACGACACGTGCTCGCCTCGGGGCTCTGCCGAAGGCGTGGGCGCTCGGAGCCGTGGGGGAGGCATCGGCCGCCGACCGCCCACCCCTCGCCGAGAGGGGCCCGACAGCCCACCCTCAGACAGTGGCGAAGCGTCCTGGCTCGCCTATAGCCCTACCAAACAATCTTCTAAGAACCTTTTTGTGGTTTCCACGAAATGTTCTCAGAACATTTCTGGCGGATATTGTCTTGTTTTAGTACATCGGGTGTTTGTTATAAGGACATTGTGTCTGTTCTTAGAACATTGTTGGGTTCTAAGAACATTCCGTGGTGAGACTACAGGAATGCCGGGACGGTCGGTCCCTGCTCAACACCCCGCGCCCGGAAGCCGGCGGCCTCGCGATGGGGCCACCGTAGCCGACCCGTCGGCGACGCGTCGCCGAGGCCAAGTCGACGTTCCCCTCCCCCCTGACGCCAGGGCGACGTGTCGCCGATGCCAGGTCGATGCCAGATCGATGCCAGGCGCCGACCGATGCCAGAGCGACGCCAGGTCGATGCCAGATCCGTGCCAGGCCGATGCCAGATCGAAGCCGTGTCGATGCCGGGTCGATGCCAGGTTGATGTGTCGGCGGGGCCGATGCCAGGTCGATGTGTCCCCGATGCCAGACGTTCCCCCTCACCACCCTTGATGCCTGGACGCAGTCGGGCCGAGGTGTACGCTCGCGGCCGGTTCTGGGGAGGGTGCCCCTCGGTGTTCCTCGTGCCTGTTGGATGTTCCTGTGCATCCCTGGGAGGGCGCCCTTGCATGCTGTGTCTGTTTCGGCCGACGGAGGGCCTCGTGCTCTCGGGGGCTGCTCTTCTGAGTTCTTGGGTGCTCGTAGTGCTCCCCCTCTGGGCTGGGCGCTCCGCCCCTGCCGGGTCGGGCGACCAGGGGGGAGGAGGAGGAGGAGGAGGAGGAGGAGGAGGAGGAGGAGGAGGAGGAGGAGGAGGAGGAGGAGGAGGAGGAGGAGGAGGAGGAGGAGGAGGAGGAGGAGGAGGA